CTAAATATCTAACCGTAGATCCTACGAAAACAAAATGGCGTCAGGTTAATTGCCTTCTACGACTCTTAAAAATATATTGTCGCTGATTTATTCGTCGTAAGTCTTAACCCTTTCGTGACCAGTGGGGCGCACATGTCCGAACAAAGATTCGTCTCAATTTTAATATTAATTACAGACACGCTTTGATCGGTGGACAAATAAAAAATTCTTAGAGAAGAAGTAATTTGGTCACGAAATGGTTAAAGAGATTCATACTGTACTGATCATTTTTAAAGGCAAGAAATTAGCAGAATTGTGATGGAAAGTTGGTGACAGTTGTTTTACGTAGTTCAGGTTAAGGTAATTGGAGGATTGAAATAATTGTGGCTTTTTCTCGTTTAACGAGTGGTGTCCGATACGCTGGTTGGATTTGTGTTTGATGGGTCGTTTATTAGTCCTGCTTGGTACTCTCCTAGTCGATTGTTCAGAATTGTGGAAAGATTGACGATTTCTAACTCTTTAGTGAAACGCTAACAAGCAGAAACTGTCGATTTTCTGTCAGTTTTTATTTGTAGGATTCAAGTGTTGCCTGAGAATGAAGTGTCGATGAAAGGATGAATTTCTTTCTGTGGAGACTGTACGATTTAGCCTTTGTGGAATTACATATTTACTAATAATATTGGAATATTCATTAACACGTTAAGTGCCAAGCCTGTTTTGTCTTCCTTTCCGTTTAGCCCGCGATATCCGATTTCACCGATATGGTGGCGGCCGGAGATCTGTATAAGGTTGCGATAACACTGCATGTGTTTTAATAATACTCATTCAAATTTTTTTTTGGTAACAAGTAATATTTAGGTACATTCTTTTATGATCTCCAAATTATTTAAAATTTATTAATCGAAGAATATAATTTTTTAAATAGTATATCGTCAGTTCCCGGTGACTGACGCGGTCCGAACGGAAAGTGTAGTGTCAGTCACCGGTGACTGACACGGCGCTTAACGTGTTAATCCTGTGTAACTTTCAAGTCACATACTAATATATCGATATTTTATTAAATAATTGAACTTTTTTCCACAAGATGGCGTAAACGTCAATGTCTCCTTATTAACTTTCTTGATAAGCGTTGTTACCTCAAAGCTACAATATGTATTCGTTATAATAAAATTGTTGAAACTGCTGAATTCGTTGTTATTCTGTATAGGTCGATATTTCTTAATTTTACGTTACATAAATTTTTTCATAGTCAAGAAAAATATTCGGTCCACAGCGGGGTTAAAGAAAAAAGAATCGAAGTGTTCGATTTATTAGGTGTATAAATGAATTCGATGCCTTTTTTCTACAAGGTCTCGGAGACTTCGTTCACTCGAAATCGCGATACTTTTTCAAAGAGAGAATTCGTCAGTTGTTCAATAATGGAGAACGTTTTCATCGTTCATATTGTGTTAGATTTTTTTCTAAATCAACTTCGAAGTTTTTGTGGAAAAAAAGAAAAAACGATAATTACAGGTTGCACGATTAATCGGTAGCTCGAGAACGGATGGGATAGTTGGTTCGTCTTGCGAGCAGTTGCTGAAAGGGGTGAAAAAGTTTCCTTCTTATCGATAAAACACAGCTCCTTCTTCGAGGCACTTTCACGCCCACAGATTTTTCTAGCAGACCGGATAATTGTTGCGAAAGTGGCATAGTTTCTGCGGCATAATTTAAATAGTTGCTGTCGTCAAGTAGAGTACACCGATGGCTCGCGCACGTAGAGCGTCTTGTTTGCGCGTGTCGAGCTTCTACGCCGCGCTTTACCGAAAGGAGAAACCGTCAGGAGAGAAAGGAACATTCTCCAAATATGAGGCGCCGTTCCAATGAACCGGCGAAGAACACCGGGATATCTCGTATTTGGACGAGACAGAGACAGAGAGAGGTACGCGTTGTCGTCGAATGGTTTTCGTATTTGCACGTAAAAGGAAACAGGTTGTTCGGTGTATTTACGACTGACGCGTTAGAGCTCGGTAGAGATAAAAGAAAAGTGACATTTCTGCGCGTACATTCATCTTGCCTGCACGACACGGCGTTGATCGTTCATGTGAGATTGAATCTGATACTTGTTCGGTCGAGAGAGAATACAGATTAGCTAGTGTGATGTGTAGAATTTTTATTCCTATTGTGTAATGATACGGTAATTGTAGCGAGGTTTGAGAGGTTACTAAGGTTCTAGGGATATTGGGGGTTACAGTAGGTTCCATAGGCTAGGTTAGGGGTATCAGAACTTTCAGGAGGTTTCAGGAGGTTCCAGAGATCCCAGGAGGTAACATAGGTTCCAGAGAGCCCAGGAGGTTACATAGGTTCCATGTGTACATACTAGGGGTTCCAGAATGTTCCAAAAGTTTCAGGAGGTTCTATAGATTCCAGATGTATCAGGGGTACCACCAGCTTGCACAGATTCTGGGGCTATATTAAGGGTTGCAGGAGGTTCCATAAATTGTAGGAATATCAAAATTTTTAGGAAGTTCCAATGGTTCCAAGGGGTTTCACGAGGTTCTCTAGAGATATTGAAGCTCTTGAAGAATCTCCAAAATTCTAGGGGCATCCGGGGTTACAGAAGGTTCCACAGGCTTCAGGATATGCAAACGATTTCATAGGCTCCAGTTGTTCCAGAAAGTTCCACAGGCTTCAGGGTTTCCAGAAGGTTCCAAAAGGTTCCACGAGCTCTAAGGTTCCCAAATGTTTCCATATGTTCCAAAAGGTTACATAGACTCCAGTGGTACCAGAATGTTCTCCGCCAATTCCAACTGCCCAAGAACCTTCGAATCTTCTACGAACATTTTCCCCAGGTCTACTATCGGCTTTTCAATTCCCCTCGTGACATACAAATGAAACATTCCATCTATGCGTTCAATTACCCAAATGCCTCTATTTAAATCCCCCCCCCCAGGTTTTGTCTCTCGAACGATGATATTCCTCTCTTCTTTCTCCCTCCTATCGATATCCCCGGCGCGGGAAGCGTCCAAGTACAACAGTTTTATCATGAACACAACACCACCACTACTTATTATACAGCGGTGGCCACGTTCACCGCGTGGAGTTTAATTACACGGAGGAATGCGCCGTACAAACTTGTTTCCTGTCACAGTGTATAAACTTCATTGAAGTTTCATGGGTTGGCCGCTCTCAGAATGAGAGGAATGCGAGCCGCGCATCCGGTATGACTTGCCACTTCTTTCCTTTTCTCCTCTGTCCAGTGATCTCAAACTATCCGAAGGCTGGCTTGCCCCGTGATCCAAGGATGACGTCGATGTTCCGAAGGGGCACGATCTTCGCCACGTTCTTCCTGTCGTTGCTAGGCGGTGGGCTGGTCTGCGCCGCCCTGGTCACGCAACACTGGGTCGAGGCGAGACCCTTGAGAACTCCGAACCCCCAAGAGAGCGCCGGCAGAGTTCACTTTGGCCTCCTTCAGGGAAAGAAGGAACTGAACGTTGCCTACGGCTGGAGGACCTATCATATCTCTGGTAAGTTCTGTCCTTCTACGAACAAGTGACAATCATGTTTTCAGAATAACTCATCGATAAACAATTTTATTAATGTGCGTAGCAATAAAATTCTTTCCGACTGGATTCACGTAATTCATTAAACAGTCAGCTGTTGCCACCTCTTTCGAAAGTGTGTACCTAAGATGTGTCGGAAAAAGTAAGCGACGACGAGTATACTCGTCGAACACAGAGCATGTGTGGCTGTTATAATATAGAATTAAGTTGTGATGAAATGATTGTTTTATTTTTTAATTTTAATACGTCCCATGCGCGAAACGATGTTATTCCTATTTTGAACGAAGAGTATGTACACTCTGTTCAATTTAAGAATAACCTCGCTCTCGGACCGATTTTCGTCCGTTCTGCGCATATATTTTATTACGTCCCATGCGCGAAACGATGTTATTCCTATTTTGAACGAAGAGTATGTACACTCTGTCCAATTTAAGAATAACCTCGCTCTCGGACCGATTTTCGTCCGTTCTGCGCATAGACAGAGAGCGTAGCAGAGGGTAAGACGGAGAAAAACGTAGGCGGTTAAGTGGGGGTTTGGACGTTCTAGCCCTGCCTTAGGCATGTCCCATGCGTGAAACGAGGTTATTCCTATTTTGAACGGACTTTATACATACTTATCTCTACCCGCGTTACATTACTTCGAATCTCGAGAAATGAATCATTTGAGAAATCTCGAATCTCGGGAAATACGTTCCTTTTCTAACTTATTTTATTTAGGGAAATAAAGAAAATGTCACTACGAGATAAATCAGCCGAATACCGCGGGGATTCCCCAACGTTGTAATCGATTTTGAATGAAAAGATTCTCCGACCGCAATGGCTGAATGCGCGCGAGAGCATTGTCACAATGAAAAATTCACGACGATGCAATTTCAGGTCGAACCCGATTCACTCGTGAAAAAAGAAAGAAATTTACATTATCCTCGTGTCGATAAACGAGCGTACCAACTTGCCACTGTTTTGTAACAAATAATTCAATTCAGTTAACATTAATAGAAATGCATTTTCTAGCAACTGCGTAACTGTTTATTTTAGTTGGATGTATCGTCACGGTTAATGAATTGTATTTAACTTCGTCCCCGAATAGTAAATACTCTCTACTCAAGGATACAACATCGTTTTCTCTTCCTACCGTTCGTTTTTTCACCATCTCGTTGTATTTGCTCCACCAAGCATGGCTGTTACGTTTGCTTATACGACACCGAACGAATTACTCAGCGTTAATTAAACGCTTCAACTCTTCTCTATGCAGTGAAAAGTTCGCTTGTGGAGATTCTATTCTGTGATTTGTATTTGAAATTGATGCATTCTCGTCGAATGGAACTTATTATCATATCTATGGATTCTTTTTGCTATTTAAACAATTTGTACCTCCATTTTGCTAATGGAACTAATGGTTACCTGCAAATTGTTAGCTTTCAATTTTATCATACGAATGACGTTTCTACATTTTTTTCTCTGCTAGATTTTAAAGTTCCAGAGTTTTACAATGTTTACAACGTTGACATGCGCCGTACAGTGTGCGCGGATAGCTAAAACCGCATAGCTCGCCGGGAACCATCGAGACACTGTTTACTCAATTCAATTTACGATGAAGTTTATGAGTTAAAACACCAGCCACGTAGTTTTTCGCCCGCGATCGTGTACTGGACACGGACACGGCTCTGTTAAATTATTCAATCTGTTCCTCCGTTGGCTAATCTGAGTTTCTGACGAGTTTCTCACCAACAACGTGTTTTACATAACTTTTCCTTACCTAACTCGCTCGGTGTCTGTGTGGATACGTTCGAAGATGATCTTATCTGGAGAAAAACGAAACAGCCAAGCACAATGGCTTGTGGCACTGTTCACGTGTAACCAGCAGTGACATCGGCCGATGATGAATTCTAATTGTACGACTCTGCGTAACTAACTTATCGACCGTAGTTCAATTTCCATGTAATCTCGCGGAATATCAACCAATAAAGTTTAACTTCTTCACCGACACGTTTCAACGTGACTATTTTCTACAACGAACAAATAACATATTAAAATACGAAATGACTGTTACACGAACAAGTAGCTACTATCCACGATTTCCGATCGTTACAAGTGATTTTCAAGAACATGTTAGTCCAGTTTAACTGGTCTACGGTTTTACTGGTGAATCACGTTTAACCATTGGTGAATTCTCGTCGTATAAACTGCATTATCGTTTCTCTAGTGCTGCTCATTTTCTAAAGGGGCGTACGAAACTTTGATTCTGTCAGCTTGGTGTGTGTAATCTAACCTCAAATAATACCAGTCGACGAGTTATCGTCGCGGAGAACCGCACCGGGAAGATTCTACGGTGCTAAGTAACCCGGTGTGATACTGGGGGCCATAAATTCTCCCGTATAGTTGGCCAGACTGGAGAATCTCATTCGGCATAGCTGTACCTGCACGCGATTTCTGTAGGTAGATGGTGAACGTCGGAGTCGCGCGCGTATCTGCTATAAATCTACCGTTTGATAATCGCCCCCTGCGCCACGGATCAATTTCGTTTCACGGCGCTGCTCGATCGACGGGGATCGTTTTGTTAATGCTCGTGAGATCGCGTTGATCAAGCTCGTACCGATGTCAGAGTAACTTAACGTTATTTATTTGACAGCTTGTGTGCTTCAGATTATCATTTGACCTCGATTACGGAGAAAGTTGCAGGAAAAACGTTAAGGATGATTGAAGATGAGAATAGAGAACGATGTGTTTTTTTTTTTTTATTACCATAGTCTCAATAAGGTTCTTGAGATTCTTTTGTATTTTAGTAATTTTTTATAGTGTATGGTAGGTTACGTACAGTTTCGAAGTATCGCAGTATGTAATAGTATTTGAATCGATTCGATAGAATTTAGATAATGGAATTTAACGGTCACAGCGAGTATCAAGTTTATGTTCGTAATACGATTCATCAGAAAGAGGATATCTAATTATCCTCTTTACCGTTAAACCTGCAAAGAAATGTTCACGAGCAAAGTTAAACGGTCTTAGAAGATGAATGAGAGATAAAGATAATCTTTTTTCCCTTAGAATACTCTCTCAATGAAAATTGCACTGAACATAACCTCAAACTTCACATCAACTACACGACACTGTATTTATACGAAATATATAATTCTCTAAATGAGACAGAATCTTTTGTACAAACTTTTAAAAAAATTCACTCGATTAAACGTAAGATCACAGAGACAGAATTAAAGATTTAGATGTAAAGATATTCACGGAGAAGAATTTTCGGATTTTCAACGGTGTCTCGTTCATTATCCAACGATGAATTTTTTCTAAGCTTGATAACTGTACGCGAGCAATGAGACTGTTTATAATACTCACATGTCTCGTCATCCTGATACTGAAATCTTTACTACCGGAGGAAACTGTTATCATACCATAAACGGTGTTACAATGCCGGTAGAGGGGCCACGGGGTAGACAAGCCAGGCTGAACATTTGAATAACAATTTTACGGGTTCACCGTGGATAACGGTTCGTCTCACACACTTCGGTCGCGGTATAATTTTTTGCTTGAGGCGCACGCAAAAAGCTGCCCCATGCGCACGGGATAGCCTTAAGGAGTGTACTCATTACTTCAATTCTCTTTCTGTTTCATTTGAATTATATACGATGATATATATAGTCATTTAGTCTGCTTCTAACGATTTTTACCTATTTCTCTTTACCTTTTAAGTTGTTCAATTCTGTGATAGATTGGTATCGCAGTAATTGTATTAGGTAAAATTTTCATGTAAGATTGAAGTGGAGATCTGCTTAATGCAGGGTAGTATAAGGTTGAGAATTAAATAGAACGATAATAATCTTCGTACTTTATTACAACTGGTAATTTCGATGAAATTATTGCGAGAAAGTTTTGGTTAATGTAATACTACGAAGATTAAGATTTCGGTGGAACTATAAACTGTCAGAATTATTTTGCTCTGAGTAATATATTCGCGGAATATTTTTGAGGTTATTTTTGTTTCAAGATTATTCCGTTAGGAAATGCAGAGAGAGAGAAAGAGAGAGAAAACGACATCAGATTATTGTAAACCATTTGGTAAAGTCGGAGAGGATACTACTTTTTTTTCTTTTTTATCTCGTTACATCTACTCTGGAAATTTTTCATTCTTTTTTTGTGGAAGCTTCGTATTGGACGGTCGATCTGCAGAACCAATTTCCCCGTAGCGTTTTCTGCCCCTCCCGAGATATTCGTTTTCTCCCGGCAACCGTTCTATATTGCATTCTCGATCTAGCAAGACAGTATTTTCTTCTGCTCAGCTTCCGTTCCGTTTTCCAAAATTTCGTCTGTCTAACAAGAACTTCATATGCAGGTCTCGATCCACACGGACGCTTGATCTATAGATTGGATAACCGATGAAGATTAGGGGACGTACTCTAGATAATCAAATCGTTGTGAGCAGTTCCATCTGGTGGATTATTCTGGAAAATCATCGTATTTATAATTTTCCTATTTATTTTCACCACGGATATTTTTTAACATTTTTCTTTCATTTATGAAATTAGAATTTTTTTTAATACAAGTCTCGTATTATATTCGCCATAGATTTTGAAGTTCAACGTACAGATCGTAGTACCTATGGAAATTAGAGAATATAGCAGAACGGTAATTGGACTCTCGTGGCCAAGCAGTTTGACCCAGTGGCAGCCAAGTATCGAGTATCAACCGCATTGCAATTCTTATTACCGACGATTCTCGTTGCGATGTTCTTTTTATCACCTTCTCTGGCACTGATACAGTGATGACAAAGTATCTAGTATCAACCACGTTAAAATTCTACATTGTGGCTAATTTCCAATCCAAGAGAGTCACCTTTCCTCTGGCACCATTAAATCCTGAAGACTGAATTATATCGATCTTCTTGCAAAATTTATAAAAGTTGAAAAATTTATTTTCGCCAAACAATTTGATCGTTTGGAAAGGTCTATAAGAAACCTAGATCTTTTTTTTTTAGAATTCAAGCTTTTAACAGGATTTTTCTTGTTCTACTTTCAGTCTTTCCAAAGATTCAATCGACAAATCAATTTTTATCAGAACACCCAGAAACTAACCACAGTCGATCAATTCGACCTACTGATAACAAGGTACCAATTATAAACTTCCTACTACTTCTTAAAGTTCCACCTCCCACCAAAACTTTTGACATTCCCCTCTCTCAATCTTCTTTCAGATCTAATTCACACAGTCAACCAAACTTGCACAATCCATCACACTACCAACCAGGTCATCATCATCATCATCATCATCATGATCATCATCATCAACTAGCTTGATCCAGAGGAAACAAAATATTCAACATCCACTTATACCAAACCTCATCATCAACCAATATTATAACTCACTAACAGTAAAATATTTTTTTACCAATTCCTTAAATTCAAGCTTCCATCGTGCCATTTCATATACTCCATGGTCAATCTTCTTTCAGATCCCATCCACATATCATGCAACAAAACAGAAGCTAAACACAATTCATCACGACAGAATGCAAGCCATCATCATCGTGTAATTTAAGTGGTAGAGATAGCAAGGTGTCTACGATCGCCAGTTGATTTAAAATTCTCGCTACCAGCAATTTGCATCAGAGCATAAAGGATCCCCGTTAACTTTAACCATCGGATTCCGCGTATCCGCGTGTGAAAGCAGCTAAATCCAACGCGTCGAATCGAGTTCAGCTGTTTTTCCCGATAAGAACAATGGGATTGTTGGCACGCGTCATGAGAAACGTTTCTCTTTCATCGGTGCAGCGAATAGTCCCGAAGGGACACGCGAGGAACACGTACCGGTTCGATCACGTATGTAACGATAGTCGCGTGGCGCGCACGATCAGCCATCGGCTATAGTTACATATACCTGACGTGTCGAGTCTCTTCGAAACGTGAGGTCAATAACAGCCTCAGTTTTATTGTACCTGTGCCGTTGCCATTAGTATGCATGTCATAATGAAATTGTCGTAATCGTTTATTAATTCTCTCTGTACATCTCTGTCTCTCTCTCTTATTTTCTTTTGCCTCGACATCGTTCATTGATAATCAAGAAAAGAATTAACCGTGTCGATGTACGCAACTACTAGCGCCCCTTTGAACGTCAAACGTGCCATATGTTCCCCAACAAATGCGAATAGTGTGTAGAATTGTGGGCTGCTATAGTGTTATTTATTCGCGTACTGCAACGGCTTAAGTAAATTTTTTATTTTCCTGGCAATTGTGGGTCTTCTGACCGTGTAACTGTGAGGCTTCTTTCCGTTACACTGAGCTGTTAATTGGCAAAACCTTGTACTTAGCGAGAGGGTTGATTTGTTTAAGCGAATGTTTGTAGAAAAAGAGAGGAAATTCAAATTTACTCGAGTATTACATTTTTTCATGCAGATCTATCGCGAAGAATATCACACGAGATACTCAATTAACCTATTAATTCTTTCGTTACTAAAACTGGACATATTATATTTGTTTACTTTGCGAATAAGATAAACAAAAAGTTAAAAAATTATCGTGACTATCGTGAAACAGTTGATTTTCAAGAATACGTATTTCTATTTTTATATTGTACGCCTTAAACGATCAAACGTTTCACAAGCCCCAGCCTTGAATAGTAATTGTTTCGTTCAGTACACAGTGAGCGTTTTTTTTGTTTTTTAAGTGCGCCGGTAGCAAAAGGATTAAGGAAAATTTCTTTCCTGTTAGAATGTGATTAATAGTTATAAATTCACGAGCTGTTCACGAGCTTGGCAATTGAGAGTTTAGAAACGTGTCTAGATCGCTTCTAATTCATTCCCGTCATAGGAGATTTCGTCAGCGGTGAAAAGTTTTTGCGACACCCACGCGTAGAGGCGAGCACAGAAGAAGCGGTTGAATAAAGAAAAGCGGCGGCCCGAGGAAAAGATTCCGTGCGCGAGAGCAGCAGTGACGGTTGTAACAATAGGAGCAGAAACTGGTTTCTGAGTGTGCAAAAATCCACGACCGTGCCTCGTGGTCGACTTTCACGTGCGCGGCCGCCTCGTATCATCGACTGCTCTGCCGATGCTGACCACGGGGAACATTTAAAATCTCTTTTCCTGGAAGGCTTTCACGGTCAACAAAAGTTCAGGATCGCGTTTCTCCCCTTTCGTTCAATTTGATTCGTAGTTTCTTGTGTTTCATTCCTTTTTTTTTTTATGTGTAATAATTGTAAATTTAACAGATGAACGATATCGTATGTCGGATTAGAAATGTAGATTGTGGACGTATTTTTTAAAATGGTATAATTGAAAAGATGAAAGATACACGATTACGTGTATTCCTTGTGCTGTCCAATTATGGTTCAGTTGAGTCTTGTTACATAAACGGTTTCCTAAGATAAGCCACTTTCACATTCAAGGACGTACAGAAACCTTTGTAGATTTTGTAGAACGTATGAATTCTAAAGCAAAAGTGTTTTCACATTGAATGTTTTAACGCATAATAGATCATGAAGTCACGAGGTTAACGGATCGATCAACCAATCAAATTAAGCAATGAAATTAAGATGTTCATTGGAAAACGAGAATGGTTGAAATAAATTTTAGTCATTTTATTTTCAAACAAACTACGTTTCTTTTTTTTTTTTATCTGTTCTTGTCGAAGATACGTTTGTTATCAAGGTGAAGTGTGGGTGTTTTGTACATTGCGACACAATATGTCTCCAGTCGAAGTTGAATACAAGGAAAAACGGCGCTCTTGAGAAATTCCTAGGATGTCCTTTCGTGGATGCAAGCTGTTAACTTGGCAATTCACTGAGAACCCCGCCTGAGGCTAATTAAATAGTCTGTTATTTGCGATGCAATATAACTTGAACTAACCAAAGCAAGAGTATTTACAGCACGCTTAATTATTCACTACGCTCTACGATAACTTCAGTTCGCACGCCAATCCAGCTGCGAATTTGGTTTACTTGTAAAAAGTAAACTTCAAATTTGATCGAATTTTTCCTTCAGTCTTTTATTGTATATTGAGATAAATTCAATTTTTTTTTTAACTGTGTTAATTACGAACTAAAAGTATGTTATCAAATGTGTTCCAATCTTTCAGTGGAACGAGGTAACGAACACCTAACCTGGATCGTTGATTTTTATTGCTGGTACTAAAAAAAAAGGCCGAAATATTATTAAAGCTATCGCGTGAAATAATCGTTCGCCCTATTTCAGTGCCTCAGATGATTAAACAAGATCCGACAGTGATGTCCTGGGGACTTTGGATCAGCACTTTAACTACAACCTCGGCTGCTCTTGTCACCGCTGGTCTGGCTGCTCTTCTCGCTGTCTTGAACACAGCCACTTCTCCTAGATCAAAGATCCTCTCGGATCCCGGAGTGTACTTCATAAATATTTTAACGTGTATGTTAAAGGAGAATTCTACTGTAACATCCTGGATTCAAAGAAATTTTAAATTCTTAATTTTAAATTGAAAAAAAAATGTTACATTTCATAAAAAAAATAAGCTTTTTCCACTGTTGAATAAAAATTACTTGCATTAACAAAACTTTTCAAAGTGTATAATTATCACTGAACTAATGTGAAAGAAAAAAAAAATGTTAAATATCAACGTAATTTGCATTTATTTTAGTATTAATGTGCATGGCAAGTACGAGTACTTGGCTGGCACAGTATTACACGAAGCTATACTTCAACGTGCTTCCAAAGGAGGACATCGACAATATGTGGACCAGCGAAGGTTCCGCCGAGCTCGGTTATTCATTTTGGTAAGAGACCTTCCATTCTTCTGCTCGATAGCAACGATGCATTCACAGTACAAAAAAAAGTCAGCCGAGCTTCACCGATGATCCTGGGCGTTCTTGTGGTCGTTGGCAAGTTTTATGCACACTATCCGATACGGTAGACGTTTTTCGATTTTCTGTAAAGCCCGAGGCTTTTCAAATCAAGAATAGTGAATGCGAGAAGCATCGTTCGAATCGTGGAAATTGCACCCTTTCATCTTGCTTGGGATACCATTCAATCTAAATTGACATGACATTTTGTAGAATCAAATATTTCTTGTTTCCAGCTAAAAAATAATTACAGATATTCTTTGCTATTTTTATTTTAAATGTACCAAAAACACGTTAAAAAAGATTGTAAAAGAAATAAAGGTTATTAGTAACCTTTTAAGTCAATACGTCTTAAACACACTACAGATTTTCTTTTGTTCAGTCGATAATGAAGATCAACCCTCCGAATATAAAGAGGTTAGAATACAGTGAACGAGTTGGATTTTCTCAGATGTTTTTAAGATGGTTCGTCTTTCCATTTGTTTCTCCTTAGGCTCGTTGTGTGTGCTGGCGTGGTGCATTTAATCAGCATAGCATTGGTCGGCTGGGGTTCTGGACGAGACAAAATCAAACGGCTAGAGACAATTCCGGCACTGGAGGAAAAGACCGCCGCGGCAATAATGCTGTACTGAATCCCGCAGGCTTTTGAAAAGAGACTCAAAGAGAAAAGAGATCCATTACAAAAATTACACAGAGTAGTGCTCACATCTGTTGGCGTGCGACGAAGCAACCAGGAGTCGATTAAGCAGAAATCAGGCTACGATATTTCTGCTGTACGAGAAACGACAAGTTCCTAGAGATGTTTGTTAGCGTACTTAGTGTCGTCTGAAAAAACGTTAAAGATCAACGAGATTGTCAGTTTAGTCTTGTTGAACTTGCGACGTGAAATTTGAAAAAATCTTTCGTGTGAAAAATGTACAAAAATCAAACAATACGTAAATATTGTACAGAAAAATCGAGATGAAAATTTCATTAAATCGACTATGTGAAAGAAAAAGGAGAAACGCGTTTTGTGGCGATTAGAATGTAGATTCCGGTCGAACGTTTTATATTCTAAAAAATATGACCGCGGGATTTTCAGACCGCTGAAATTATCGAGAGTGGAAACCAGGCCGTGTAATTGATCGTTTCTGCGCGGAATTACGAAGTTGCACCGTAATATCGCGTGATCCGAAACATTTTGAACAGTTCTGAACGTGTGTGACAAAGTGTATGCTACATATATATATATATAGATGTTGAACTATGCTATATTTTTCCGTGTAATAATTATTAGAATTATCTCGTTACAGATATAAATGTATCCGCGAACACCATCATTTTACTGTAATTCACTTATTATCTAGATATATATTTACTATTTTTTTATACCCCTCGTGCGTTTTTTAATATCCATTTTTTTACACGCATTTGTTAATCTTTCTTTAGGATTTTTCAGTGTTTTTTTCATACAATACGATTAACAATTAGAATCGTAAGGAGGATAGCATACGTCTTGCCTTTTAGATGAATTAAACGAAGGAAGAGATCGTCGTTTTTTCTTCCATCCATGTCTCGTCATTTTTCACGATACCGAAAAGGACAAGTCGACTTAGTTGGAGGTTTCGCGAAACCTTTTTCTTGTCTATTATGTTTTCATAGGGTGTAAATAGAAACGGAGTTTGATACTCTGTAGTGATTTAGTTATTACGTAGTATCTTAATTATTAACTATATCATAAATGTAATAAAACAATTAAACAGAGAATACGGATAAGGTGCGTAGATCTTCATTTATACCACGTTTGTCTCGAAAATCGTTGCTTCAGATTATGAGACATAGATCTTTCATAGCCTCACGATCGTTCTTTCTTCCTGTTTTTTTTTTTGTTCGTTCAAGGAAAAGATACCACGCGAAGTATACCGGTTTTATAAAAAAATTAACGTAAGAATTAAGACACGAGAGAACTTTATTTACGTTTTGAGACTTTTAACCACTGCCGTCGGGTTAGCCTAGTCAATTCAATTATCGTCGGCACTCATACAGTTCACCATCCCTCTGCTCTGTACATTGATTCATATTTCACATAAAATGTGACATGCTACTTCATTATTTATACCGCCTGACCTTTCAGAGTTTCTCATTCTTGTCTACGTGTTTGTTCTTTTTTCTTTTCTTTTCTTTTTACAAGTCTAATACACCATGTTACAGCGTGGTCGATTTAGAAAAATGTTGCTCAGTGATTTAGAAAAATCATAAAAACTCAATCTTATTGTCTTTTATTAATATTACGTTTTGTTTTTTTTTTTTTTTTTTTTTGTGATGCGCACGCGTCGAGTGTGTGTATGCGTACTGACTACGAACCATAAATCTTTGTGCTCCTTTCCTGTTACTCTTATTATGAATATGTTCGGAGAGAAATGAAGCGGTGCACAACTTTACCAGTATTGACGATGAGTGACTATAGTCAACGTTAGTAATGAAAGGGTTAATTGAAATATATTTTTTTTAAATACATCACATACCAAGAATATAATTATTGTATTTAATGCAGTGTTCCTTTCCTGTTACTCTTATTATGAATATGTTCGGTGAGAAATGAAGCGGTGCACAACTTTACCAGTATTGATGATGAGTGACTATAGTCAACGTTAGTAATGAAAGGGTTAAGTGAAATATATTTTTTTTAAATACATCACATACCAAGAATATAATTATTGTATTTAATGCAGTGTCGTGCTATGAACTTACTTTTCCTCACGTCTCAATAACTCTCGAGGAGCATTCTGTAATACCTCATTCTTTTCGCGCCAATTTTGACTACCAGTGTTATGCATCATGCCGCCGCGACGATGACCACCCTGCCAATCAGACATTCTACCACGACTTCGGAGCCCATCTGGTAACGGATCACGTGGAATATGGCGCATCTGCAAAAATGAAATATTTTAAAATACACTTTATCAATACATCTAATTTAAAAACAATCTGTATCACCGTTTTATACTTACTGGAGGACGTTCATCCATTCCACGATCTTTATCTACTATTCTATCTCTGTCCCTCACATCGTCTTTGTCGTAGTCGTCTTTTCTCCATTTTTCAAGGGTATCTTTCTTTCTTTCTTTATTGTCGTCTTGTCTCCATCTTTCAATGGTATCTTTCTTTCTTCCTTTATGGTCGTACTTTCGCCATTTATCCGTGTCGCGTCTTTTCCAACGCGTCGCATCTTCTTTACCACCTTCTACTTTTATGTCAATATTACGGCGCCAAGACATTTGCACTGGGAAAAATAAAACATACATATAACTAATATAAGTGTACCATTTTTACAATACTTCAAAGTAATATATTTTCTTGCATACTATGACTATCTCCACCGCGTCTCCATGTATCTATCTCCTTGTCTCTTTGTCTTCTCTCCTCTAGTTTCCTTTCTATCTCAGCTTCTCTAGCCCTAGTAATCTTCGCTTGTTTTTCTATCTTGGCCAAACGCTCGGCCCCTTTCGCCTCCTCTTCTGCACGCTTTAATCTCTCTTCTTCTTCCGTCTTTGTCCTTTCCTCCTCGATACGTCGTTTCTCCTTCCCCCGTTTAATACGCAATTCCTCCAAACGCCTTCCCTCAAGAACTTCTGTTCGTTCTTTCTCCCATTTAGCTTTGCGTTCAGCCTTACGCTCCACCTTCCGTTTCAATAATCTGCTAGCTCGCTCCTCGTTCAACACCTTCTCGAATTCTTTCAATTTCTCCAAATAAATACTCTTACTCTCGGCCAGAATCTTCGCCAAGATAATATCATGGTCCTCCTTCATTCTCGCCATGCTTTCATGGGTTGCGACAGCCTGCTGTCTCTCCTCGACGGCTGCAGCGACTCGTTTGGTCTCCCATTGCACCCAGCGCTGCTTCGCCAGCTCCATTTTTTCCTTCACTGCTTTTTCCAACAGTGGTATCTCCTCTAAACGTTTAGCATGTTCTAGATAATGGATCTTTTTCTCTTGTGACTTCAATTTCTGTTGCATATCCCTGCGTGCTTTTGGTATTTCTTCAGCCTCGCGGGCTGTAATTTGTTCCACGTCCAACTTCTTGATTTCATCCTCATCCAGTTTTTTCAGTACCTTCTGGCCGTGACTAATTTTAGAGATCTGTTGCATCTTCTCTTTCAGATAACGTTCCTTGATTTGTTGGATCTCACTCTGCTGCCGTTTCCTCTCACGCTCCTCTCTTTCATGTTCCAGTCTCTTCTGTTCAGCTAACATTTGTGGTCTCAGCAGCTCTTCCAGCCTCCTCATTTCCTTTTCCCCACAGACTGTGCTAATGTGCTCGATATATTTCTTTCTTTCCTCTACAATCTTGAATCTTCCTAGGATTCTTTGATGTTCCTTCATCTTGATCTCATGGTAACTTCTCATGCTCCATTTTCTTCTGGTTTGTATTAATGATATAGCCGATGCAATTTCAGGTCAAACCCGTTTCAGTCGCAGTACAAACTTCTTGCGAACGATTCCTTTTTGATAAAAGAAACAAATTAATATTATTCTCGTATTCATAAACGAGTGTAACAACTTACCATTATTGTAAAAAGTAATCGAATTCACTTAACAGTAGTACAAATGCATTTTCCAGCAACTGCATAACTCTTTATCCAAGTTAAATGTATCGTCACGGTTAATGGATCGGATTAACTTCGTCCCCGAATAGTTCACACTCGAATAGTTTTCACTATTTCGTTGTATTTGCTCCACCAAGCATGGCTGTTACGTTTGCTGTTAGGCAACGAACGTATTACTCAGCGTTAATTAAACACTAACTTTTATCAATGCAGTCATAAGTTTGCTTGTGCAGATTTTTTTCTATGGTTTGTATTTGAAATTGATGCATTTTGATAGAATGGAATTTATTATCACATCTATGGATTTTTTTTCTGTTTAAACAATTTGTACCTCCAGTTTGCTAATGGAAAATTAACGATTACTGGTGTTTCTACATTTTTACCGCTAGATTTTAAAGTTCAAGTGTTTTAAAATGTCTAGAACGATGACATGCGCCATACAGTGTGCGCGATTGCTAAACCGCAAAGCTCGCCGGGAACCATCGAGATTCTGTTTACTCAATTCAATTTACGACGAAGTTTACGTGTTAAAAGACCAACCACCTAATTTTTCGCCGCGATCGGGCACTGGGCACGGACACTGCTCTGTTAAATTATTCAATTGGTTCCACTGTTGGCTAATTTGAGTTTCTGACAAGTTTCTCACCAACAACCCGTTTTCCATAACTTTTCCTTACCTTACTCGCTTATACCTGTGCTATGTGTATGAAGATGATCTTATCAGGAGATAAAAGAAACAGCCAAGCATAATTGCTTGTAGCACTATTCACCCGTAGATACTTTACCGCGGCAGGAACGCCGCATACATTTCTATCTAGGGTAGGCTCCCGCCACGCCATCTGTATATCGAGGGGTACCTGCGCACGTTCCGTGGCGTCTTTTTCCTTGGTTGGTGAAAATTGAAAAAATTTGTCGTGTCAACGGTCGGTTCATAGGTGACGCGAACTCATCAAAATGTACAAAAGTAAAACAATACGATAAATATTGTATAATAAAGTCGAGATAAAAATTTCATGAAATCGTCTGTGTGAAAAAAAGAGAAGCACATTTATTGTGACGACGATTAGAATGCAGATTCCGATCGAACGTTTTATATTCGAAAAAATATGACCGTGGGATTTTCAGACCGCTGAACTTATCGAGAGTAGAAACATTTTGAACAGTACTAAACATGTTGGACTATGCTATATTTTTTCGTGTAATAACTATGAGAATTATCTCGTTACAGATATAAATGTATCCGCGAACACCATCATTTTACTGTAATTCACTTATTATCTAGATATATATTTACTATTTTTTTATACCCCTCGTGCATTTTTTAATATCCATTTTTTTACACGCATTTGTTAATCTTTTTATAGGATCTTTCAGTGTTTTTTTCATACAGTATGATTAACAATTAGAATCGTAAGGAGGTTAGTAATATGTTTTGCTCTTTAACTTCTTCCATCCATGTCTCGTCATTTTTCACGATACCGAAAAGGACAAAACGATTTACTCGGAGGTTTCGCGAAACCTCCTTTTTCGTCTATCATGTTTTTATAGGATGTAAGTAGAAACGGAGTTTGATACTCTGTAGTGATTTATTTATTACGTAATATCTTAATTATTAACTATATCATAAATGTAAGAAAACAATTAAAAAGACAATACGGATAAGATGCGTAGATCTTCATTTATACCATAGTAAAGAGGTCTCCTCTTACGTTCGTCTCAAAACTCGTATGCGTTATCGTACAAGCTAAAAAAATCGTTGCTTCGGATGTGTGCGGAGGATTATGATAGATTTTTCAAAGTCACACGATCATTCTTTCCTTCTGTTGTTTTGTTTGTTTGTTCAAGGAAAAGGTATCACGCGAAGTATACCGGTTTTATAAAAAAATTAAGGTAAGAATTAGGATACAAGAGAACTTTATTTACGTTTTGCGACTTTTAACCTCTGCCGTCAGGTTAGCCTACTCAATTCAATTATCGTCGGCACTCATACAGTTCACCATCCCTTCTGCTCTGTACATTGATTCATATTTCACATAAATGTGACACGCTGCTTCATTATTTATACCGCCTGACCTTTCAGAATTTCTCATTCTTGTGTACGTGTTTGTTCTTTTTCCTTTTCTTTTTTTTTTACAAGTCTAATACACCATGTAACAGCGTGGTCGATTTAGAAAAATGTTGCTCAGTGATTCAGAAAAATCATAAAAACTCAATCTTATCGTCTTTTATTAATATTACGTTTGGTTTTTTTTGTGATGCGCACGCGGGCGCGTGTGTGTATGTGAACTGGCTACGACCCATAAATCTTTGTGCTTATTTCCTGTTACTGTTATTATGAGTATGTTCGGAGAGAAACGCAGCGGTGTACAAAACAGTAGAGTTGGGCCCATCAGCAGTTTCAGGCAAAAGTCTAACTGCGTATTATGCACTGTCCTCGAAGTATAATAAACGTTGCTTCTATAGGTAGCTGTCGAATCCTATGTTAACGCCTGCTCACCTGTGACCATCCGTCGTCTTCTGGTGGTCGTCTTCTCTCGTCGTGTTTAGGTAGAAGTCTATCATCTTTAGGTTCGTCTCGTCTATTAATTAAAATGTATATTTTTTAAAATACATCACATACCAAGAATGTAATTATTGTATTTAATGCAGTGTCGTACTATGAACTTACTTTTCCTCACGTCTCAGTAACTCTCGAGGAGAATTCTGTAATGTCTCACTCTTGTCGCGCCAATTTTGACTACCAGTATTATGCTGCATAATGTCGTCGCGACGATGACCACCAACACGACGATCAGACATTCTACCACGAGTACGTGGTCCATCTGATAACGGATCGCGAGGAATATCACGTATCTGCAAAAATGAAATATGTTAAAATACACTTTATTAATACATCTAATTTAAAAACAAGCTGTATCATCGTTTTATACTTACTGGAGGACGTCCATCCACTCCACGATCCCTCTCTCTCTCTACTATTCTATCTCTATCCCTCACATCCTCTTTATCGAAGTCCTCTTTTCTCCATCTTTCGATGGTATCTTTCTTTTTTTCTTTATCGTCGTCCTTTCGCCATTTATCCGTGTCGCGCCTTTTCCAACGCGACGCATCTTCTTTATTACTACCTTCTTCTTTTATGTCCATATTACGGCGCCAAGACATTTGCACTGGGAAAAAAAATATATATATATAACTAAAATAATTATACCATTTTTACAATATTTCAAAGTAATATATTTTCTTGCATACTATGACTATCTCCACCGCGTCTCCATGTATCTGATATCTCCTTGTCTCTTTGTCTTTCCTCCTCTAGTTTCCTTTCTATCTCAGCTTCTCTAGCCCTAGTAATCTCTGCTTGTTTTTCAATCTTGGCCAAACGCTCGGCCTCTTTCGCCTCCTCTTCTGCACGCTTTAATCTCTCTTCTTCTTCCCTCTTTGTCCTTTCCTCCTCGATACGTCGTTTTTCCTCCTCCTGTTTAATACGCAATTCCTCCAAACGCCTTCTCTCAAGAGCTTCTGTTCGTTCTTTCTCCCATTTAGCTTTGCGTTCAGCCTTACGCTCCATCTTCCGTTTCAATAATCTACTAACTCGCTCCTCGTTCAACACCTTCTCGAATTCTTTCAGTTTCTCCAAATAAATACTCTTACGCTCGGCCAGAATCTTTGCCAAGAAGATATCATGATCCTCCTTCATTCTCGCCATACTTTCACGAGTTGCGACAGCCTGCTGTCTCTCCTCGATGGCTGCAGCGATTCGTTCTGCCTCCTGTTGCTCCCAACGCTGCTTCGCCAACTCCATTTTTTCCTCTACTGCTTTTTCCAACAGTGGTATCTCCTCCAAACGTTTAGCACGTTCTAGGTAATCGATCTTTTTCTCTTGTGACTTCAATTTCTGTTGCATCTCCCTACGTTCTTTCTGTAATTCTTCAGCCTCGCGGGCTGCAATTTGTTCCGCGTCTAACTTCTTGATTTCATCCTCGTCCAATTTTTTCAGTACCTTCTGACCGTGACTAGTTTGAGAGATCTGTTGCATCTTCTCTTTCAGATGACGATCCTTGATTTGTTGGATCTCACTCTGCTGTCGTTTCCTCTCACGCTCCTCTCTTTCATGTTCCAGTCTCTTTTGTTCAGCCAACATTTGCTGTCTCTGCAGCTCTTCCAGTCTTCTCATTTCCTCTTCCTCGCGGACTGTGTTGATGTGCTCAATGTATTCTTTTCTTTCCTCTATGATTTTGTGTCTTCCTAAGATTCTTTGATGTTCCTTCGTTTTGGTCTCATGGTAATGGCCTACCAAGGCGTTGCGTAACTTCTCACGCTCCGTTTTCTTCTTGTGTGGATTAATGATATAGATCGAGCGGTGCAATACGGTGGCCATATTTACAAGTTGACAACGAATCTGTTCAGAAGGCATTGCTTGTAACACTGGACCATCTGGATGGTCTTCTCTTTGAGCTTCTGAAAGATCAACTCCGAAGTGCACGCATTTCTTTCCGTGGTTAATTCTGATTTGCATGTCGTTGTATCGTACACAATCCACCAACAAACGCTCTAAATGGAAGTCTGTCGTGAATTTGGCGAGTTCCAAAAGTCTAGCGAATTGTATGGTCTGATAAACCTGTGATATTTGATGAACTAGACGTACGAGAGTTACGTCTTGTAAGGCTGGAATGTACTGAACCAATGGACTGTTTTCATCAGCCTGTAACGTTTGAATGACAGAATCTACACGACTACAGAGTTCCAGGGGATGAAATTCAACCTCCAGCCATGAGTACAATTCTTGTAACTGTGGAGACGCTAAATTAACAATGTTCAAGCGAACGATATCTTTAAGCAGAGAAACTCTTGTTGGCGGTTGAGTGAGTTTTAAAAGCGTCGCGAGCTTCTGAGCTTTTTCTAATGGACTCTTGTCCGTTTCGATAAAACGATCAAATTCAGGATGAGCTGATGGCAATGGAATAGACAGTGTGGCCAATAAGACGCGATTGGCCATTCTCTGTTGCTCCTCCATAGACATGTTCTTTTTCATTTCACGGGACAGCTGCAGCAATTTAAACAACGCTGCAGCATGGAAAAGATAGTTTCCTGCCTTCCAAAAAACCATGACCAATTTCTGGTAATAATTGGCCATAGTTTTTGGTACTGGTGGCTTCTTTGATAAATTCATCATTCCGTGCACATCTTCGGAGGACTTGAACGCTTCTTGCCACAGTTCCATTTGAATTGCCGAATCAAGTTGATTCAGCCGCGTTTCTAAGTTCAATTGCTGTGTCTCAGCTCTGTTCATGGAAACATTCGAGACGAGTGCCGGTAATTTACAAATTTCCTCTAAGTGTTTTCGCAATTTTTCGCATAATTTACGAAATTCAGTTTTACGATTATATTCAAGACAAAACTGGAAGGCCATACGTGCAATATCATGATATAGTGTTTCAACATGAGCATTAGTTCTTAGTAATTCTAAACACTGGCAATATGATTCCCACAAAAATTTCACCCATGGTGTTAAGATAGTACGGTCACTTCTGTCCTGTGCATCTTCTCCACTGACTGCTGATAAAAGAATGCTTTCAGGTGTGGCTAAATTATCAAGATCATCTATATCTATAACGGCTTGTTGACTCTGTTTCCTTGCTTGATTTGTTTTCTCTTCTGCCATGCGTAAATATCCACGTATAACATTTTCTAAACTTCCAACATTTACTGATTGGAACATATTTCGATATTGAAAAAGACCCTCCTTTGCTATATGCGACTTCTTCAGTTCCACACATAGGTCTAAGTATTTGAACATTATAGGTTCTAATACAGACTCTGACCAGTTGTACGTCCATTTTTTATTGCGGAAGACTTCTTGCAAGGTATCTAATGCCCTAGCTGGCTTTCCTACTTCGATGAATTCTGTCAAAAAAAAAAAGAAAAGGTACATGATTTAAAAGTTTCCTTGAAAATGCCTTATTCATTATTTTAATCTACAATTAAGCACTCCAGTATTCATATTAAATGGTAATTTGCATTTAAAAAAGTACCTAAAGTTTATGTAATGGAATAAATAAAGAGGGTAACTCTACTGTCAAAGTCAGTTCAGTGTTAAAAAGATGAAAAAATGTTTGAAGGAAAACAAAAGATTTAATTCTTCAAAAACCAGAAAATGATGGAAATTCATATTTATTTGTATAACAGATATGCCATATGATTTTATTTAATATAAAGAAATACTTCTTTCATTCGCATAGTTTCGCACGTAGGAAAAGCAGACACTATATTTTATTTACAATAAGCAATCACGATAGACTTCCTTTTCGGATCTGCTATCTGATACAATTATACCATTCTGGGTGCATATGGTTCGGTAAAATGAATATTTTAAAAAATTAGACAGACGTGACTATAGGCAACTTGAACACTATACGACAAGTAGGAAATGCCATTTACGATGATTAATCAGTATTGCAAAAACAAGCGGGCGAGCCAAGTAACGCGGATTGCGAAAGACATGAGCGAACGGAACAAAAGAATTTTTAGGCTCTAAATTAAATAGCCATCGGCCATGTCATATCTTGTTACGGAATAGTGTACATACCGTTTGCTCTCTTCAGAGCATTTTCAGGTCTCTGCCCGTATCGCGCCATGTTTTCGCACGTATACAGTTAATTTCACACCATACACGTTATTACGAAATCCGGTAAATTTCCTTTGAAAATCTAGGATTTAATTTTTCACTACGGAACGTTTGTCACGACGGACCTCGACCGCGTGTACCGGATGAAAGGCGGCCACTACGAAAAAATGGCTTCCCGTAATATGTAAGTCAAATCAGTCAAATTGGATTTCGAGTGTTCCGGCAATGGTTGATAGAGGCAATAAAAATGTCGCAAAAAAAATATATAATTTAGTTTATTGCTTTTATTGTACAGACGATGAACTCATATCGCAATTATTTCGCTGATTACAGTCGATCGTGCGTGAATAAGGATAGCAAGTAGGCTTGGCACTAGATGTCGTAAGGGTCCGTTTTCAATATCGGTGTTTCGTAATGACCTGTAACTTGATTTTGAATTTTTTAGCCGTTTTGTTAATTTTTTTAGTTTTGTGTACGAACATTTTGTAATTATTTATTGTGAAATAAGTGCTATTTATACGAGGTAAGTCGGTAATATTATTTAGCTGAAAAACTGTAAACTTTTATCAAATTCTTACCTACTATTTGCCGCGTAAATGGTTCAGGTCAGTATAACAATATGATCATAGAGGTGTTTTGATCGAATGAATATATTTATTCACATTTATTATAATTGGATGAATATATTTACAAAAATGCATAAAGTTACAGTAGAAACAAATTTTCTGCTACAGCCAAGTTGATTAAAAAATTTTCAACTGCCGGCGGTAAAGTTTTTTCTTTCAACGTTTGCGCAGATACCATCTTCCGTCCATCAGGTCCTTCAACTACAGCCAAAGATTTTAGTTGATTTAATAGATCTTGAGTTTTATCATTTATTTCAGATATTATTTGAGCCTCTGTATAGGACTGATTTTCACTTAGTTGAATCATAAAGAGAGCTATTTCTTTATGTGTTTTTGTCATTGTTAGACTTTCTAGAAGAAGTAGCATATTTCAGTAATACATTTATTTAAATAAAGGCTTTCTCAGTTACCCTTCTTTTTACCTTTTGCATGTGAAGCAACTGTAATTTCTCTAGCTGGAATATTTACAAGTAGATCAAATAGATCTGTTCTTGATGAAATTGAGCTGTTTCTACAGCCTGCAATATAATGTGAATGTCCCTGTAAGAAATTCAGTTACTTGGTGTCTTTTTAATAACTTTAAATAAAATATAGCTTCATCGATATACTTTTAGTTCTGCCAATTCATCATCAATTAAATCAACCCAAGGAAATAAATTATCAGTGACTTTTCTATGTTTCATTAATGCAGGAAATATTCCAATCCATTTCAAAAGTTGTTCCAAACTATGATGGTAAACTACTATTCTTTTTTTTAAAAGAAGAGCTGTATATATCAGGATGGTTTCTAATTCAAATGTTCTGATCATTTCTCTGGCATTTGTGTTTACTGTGAAACAATGAGTATTGAAGTCATCAGAAACAAATGTTCCATTTTCTTGTGTGGAACATGATCCCTTTGTAAATACAGATAGATATAATTGTAATATTTCTGTTGGTTTGCCAGTTTTGCAATACATTTTGCTAAGTACTCTTGATAGTACTTCATATTTTCGTGGGTTAAAATCTTTGGCAAACAGAACTAATGCAAATTGCTTTACCTGTTTTGGAAACAACTTTAGCATTATTTATGTCTTGAAAATACAAACACTTGGGGGGAATTATGTTCTAGTTCTAAATTGCATTTTCTTGCAACAACCGTTTTTTGCGATTCTGAAACTACGGGATAAGACCATGTCCATAATATATCACCATTAGAATCTTTTTCAATTATGCTACATGAAAGCAAATCTGTGAGGGGAGCCATTTCAAAAATGTGTTACTGACATATGAATCTGTCAGAGTACGTTGAAATAAACGGACACTGTATTAGAAATTTGTTTTTATTAAAAAAATTAGACAACATATCATTATTACATTTTAATATAAGTGATTACACTATGTACATTAAAATTAGTGTTGTGAAATTTGACATTTCGTGAGGTTATGTTTGAGAGAATTAGGGGTGTATTGGTAATATTGTTAGGTGCTGCTCTCTGTGAGAAGATGCGGAATTAGGAAAACTTGAAAAGAAATTCGAATCAGTTTTGTGCGAATCTTTCAAAGTGTAGGATCATTATTAGTTGTGATATATTTTGATTTGCAATGTGTGGTGAATATTCGAAAGTAATAGTGCTACTTGCGTATCTAAACGGACTTTGGCGGTTGAAAATAAAACGTCGAAAGGTATACGAACTTCTTTTATTAAATCTCTTAACAATTTACTTATTCTGTACATATCATAATTTACACAACTTACAAATTTCTAGTGACGCAGTGTCGCGACTTAAATAATTACTTTAAATAACAATTAAAACAATCGAAGGACATAATCATCCATCATATTATATACTATTTCTACGTACAAAAGTATTTACAATTTTTCACATACAATGCTCTTAATTACGTTTCGATATTTCTAACCTATTATAACGACATACATAGAAACTATCAGTAATACCAATCTCACTAAAATACGGAACAATCACAGAATGTAACGATACGAAACACAGAGTAATTCATACGATTATAATAAATTAACACACAACGTTGTTTCCTATAGTATATCAATATACATGCTTATTAATATATTATGAACGAAAGCGACAAGTCGCGCCCTCGTACGACTGGAGTCACTAACATTTCCGGTTCGTTTCCAGGGGATATTAGGCTATCATTTTTAACGAGCAAATTGCCAGTTGACTGTCCGGTGCTATTCCAAAGGGCTTCGTACCGTCCGGGGCAATGTACCTGTTCACTTGGTAAGTCATCATCGTTTCGTATCCGAACACGTCCGTTCCGAGTTGCTATAGGATAAACAATTTAAATGTTCTATTTATCTTGGAATAAAAAAGCGAAATAAATCGAACGCGAAATTAGTATTCTTTATTTTAAAAAACTTTTAAAATAAGATGGAGAGAGTACGCAACCGTTAACCCCTTTTTGGCGGGTGTTTCAAAATGAATTCAAAAGTTAAGTTACTCAGACAGCAATTTGCGACGCGTTGCTCTGCAAATGCACAATGAACAGCACTAAAAGAGATTGGAAAGCTCGAGAACGCCCGACATAACACTAACAATAAGCGGAACAGTTGGAGTCAGGCATGTTACTCGAGTAATCCAATTTCCGTGCTCTATCCGCATAGAGGGCGCGTGACAGAAGTACTTTCTTCGTCACAACGACCTCGTTACAAACATTTCGTATTACAAGGTGTCATTGTTGTACTATATTAGTTGTATTCTTATCATTGTTACGTTGTTATAGATTATTGTGTTTAAAATAAATTACCTGTGTCAGTGGGCTTGTGTTTGTAGTAAAAATTCCAGCATATTCTTTCCTCTTAGCTAATTGCAAACAATACTCTTCCATCTCTTTCATTAGGATCACATTTTCGGCTGGATTTAAATCACCGCTGGTCGTCATCATGAAATTGTGAATAATCTGACCCTTTCCCTTGGGCAATTTCCTTTCTCTAATTGGTGCCTCCAGGTATTCCAAAAATTCAAACACGATCGTCAATTTAGAGTCCAAGATCAATTCAGGCTCGTCCCAAAGATCGAAATTCAAGCCCACACCGATAGTTCTGTTATCTCGCGACGATTTCACTGCGAAGCTCAGATTCTTTTCCACCAAAGGCTCCCAAAGAATTTCCATCATTATACGATAATCCTCCTTCGCTATATCTGGCATCAGCCATTGCTCTAGATCCGCTTTGCTGTAGAAACTTTCTGTGATAATCCTGCAAAACAATAACATTTCCCTTGTTCATTGTAATCCAACTACTTTCCAACCTTTATTCGTAGATGGCAGCAGTGTTCCAATAACACACTTCATCTGAAGTTAGCGTCTATTCAAAGACACGTTCTCGTATCAAGTAGCGAATCAGAAAAACTTCGTTTCCATAATACAAATTTTCTTCGAATTCATTTTACGAACGTAAATTCTTAACAAACAAACAAAAAGACAATTCTAAACAAATCTTTTCGAAGCAATTTCAATTAGTAATACACACTCTATCGTGTCCTCTTTGTGAGTGTCATTCAACATCTCGAAGATATGCTCTTCCTCGTTGAGGTTATTCTCGAAAACCGCCTCGTCCGTGTTGATCCTCATTCGATCGAGCACCTCCGCTAAATTCTTCGCCGTGATGAACTCTGTGATGCCTATCTCGTAGCCTTGATCCTTGAGCTTCGTCACCGTGTAAATCGAGTTCAAGGAGTTGCCGCCTAGCTCATAGAAATTTGCATCGAGTTTGACGTCCGTGCGACCTCCGCCACCGATCACGGACGCCACCGTTGGAAACAGCACTTTCGCCTTCACGAGGTCCTTGTCGGGCACGCCATTGTAATCGCAGTTCAAGCATTGCTCGTTTTCTGGAGGCAGAGGTGAAATCGAAGTAATTGTTATTCATCGAGGTCAAGATTTACCAATGGACACTTTTTAACCCTTCCATTAGGGAAATTACAGTAGTAATTTCAAGAGGAATTATACGAATGGACATTGCTGGTAATAAATTGACCACAACGAATTAGTACAGAGCGGTAGAAGGTAACGTAGGTTAGAATTGTTCAATTAAAGAAAAAAGAAAGAAAACAAAATCCTTTTTCGAGTGCTTTGGAAATTTAAAAATAGATAAACATAGTATTAAATAAATATATATATCGGATAAGAAATAAATATTCATATCGTACCAGTGTTCAAGTTGGAATTTTCGTACTGTTTCAACAGTGTCTGACGATCGGTCTTCCCATTCGTTAAAAGTGGAATATTATCTACCACAATAATACGAGGCAACATGTATACGGGTAAAGTGGCTTGTAGAAAACTTTCGATCTTCAGTGCACACGTGGACGAGTCGTTTGCAATTGTTATGAAAGCGATCAATGCCTAAAAATTCAATTCGTTCAAAAAATTTATATTTCTTGCTTAGAATAGATTTGAACGTTAGGCTAGAAAATTGCAAAATATTAGATTATTCATTAGTACCTGAGATAATTCACCAGGTTTGTAACAAAGAACGACTACACTGTCTATACCGGGTGCTCTAGATACCGCTTTCTCCACTTCAGTCAAATCTACCCGGTGTCCTCTGACTTTGATTTGCGAATCCACGCGTCCTTCGTACATAACCGTACCTTTTGATATTCTCGCGTAGTCACCGGTGCAATAAATCCTCGAATATTCTGTGTGACGTGTAAATAATAGGATTTTAGCCGTCACGTTGCTTCCATACTGTACTATACTCAGTTTTATAAAACTTATTTTCTATCGTTAAATGGTTGAAACCGTTTGTACGATAAATAAACAAATAAAAAATTTAATAAGTAATAAATAACGGAGTGAAAGGAATTAACGAGTGGAAAATTGATGCTTCTTTTTACCTGGATCAATCGCGTGTGGGTTGTCCTGGAACTTCCGAGTGTCGTTGTCGCTGATGTAGCCTGCCGCGAGATTTCTTCCAGCGACTATCAGTTCACCAACTTCCCCCTGCGGCACCAGTCGCATCTCCTTGTTCACGATGTAAACAATGCAATTGTCTAATGGCTTTCCTGCAATCGGACACGCGTAACCATTGAATTCGCGTGTCTTCCAATCGACGGTACATCGAGAAAACTTCAACCGACTCGATGTACGTAATTTCTAAGTCCAACAGATTCCTAACCTAACTTTTCTCTTTCACTCTCAACGACATTCTCATCCATTCTTTATAACCATTCTTGCTCTGTGTCCGAGTCTAATTAACTGTTCAGAAATAAGGAAAAATTGTGTCTCTATGTATATGATTCTGTGCGTAATTTAATTTTCAAAACAAATTCACTCTTGTCGTTCCCAACCTCACTAATTCAATTTAACCCTTTCGCTGCAACGTTCGACTTTATTCACGTTGGAATTGATTATCCTTATTCGACGGTACTTTCTTCAAAGAAGAATTGGAAGAACAGCATATTGTGAGAAAAATCATTGTGCAGCGAAACGGTTAAGGGAGAATAAAAAAATTTATGCAAGTTTTTCGGAATTTTTTTTTTCTTCAATTTTGTAAAAGAAAAATGTTCAAGCTTCCGTTTACCAATTGGTATTTTCTCGGCCGATTGCAATTCGTTTCGATTGTTCAACAGATGATACGTCACGTCTCCCATGATTTC